AGTAGCGATGCCAGGAGCCCCTAGTAGCGTCCTTGTTCCTAGTAGCGGTGCCAGAAGCCTCTAGTAGCTTCTTGCTCCTAGTAGTATGGCCAGGAGCCCCTGCCAAATGTTTATGGCAGTTTGCGCTTTGGAGGCTGCATGCTGCTGCCGCTGCTATGGTACTGCCCACAAGTATCCATTGCCATTTGGGGTCAATGCTTGCGTAGCTATTCGGCGTAGATGTGATCTGGCAGCGGCACCCTGCAGCGGCACCAGCATCCAAGCTCCAAAGCGCACACGGCCATACACACTTAGCAGCGGCGCTCTGCAGCTGTAGGGTGCAGCACCAGCACAGTCCCCAAAGCGCACACAGGCAGCTCTTCCTATACTTGAGGTAAAACCCCAATAGCTCTCGCTATCTGGGGAAAAACAACAATCCTGGAAGCACTAGCAGCTTCAGGCCATGTATATAGGAACTGGAAACATATGTCACAAACAATAGGCACTGCCTGGGCCGTTGAAGTTGATTGGTCCCACTGCCGGGATACAAAAGGAAGAAAAGCAAGGAGGACTTCGCTAACACATCCACAGTGGCATGTGGAATTCAGAAATCCTCTGCCTCAACACCAGATTGGTCTCCCGTCCATTCTCCTGAGAACAAAACCAAAAGTTGGCCACAACGGCCACCGAACGAGCATCAAATGCTTCCACACTAATAGCAATGGCCTCCAACCCAGTAGCGTTTGCCTCCGCCCTAGTAGCGATGGCCTCCAACCTACTAGGGATGGCCTCCAACCTAATCGCATCAAGTCTTCAAAAAAAGTTAAGTGGGACAAAGAGGTTGAAGGTCTCTACGTGATATTAATAATGCAAGAGTCATCTGGACCAGGTGAAATGCATGGTTCAGCAAAACGGAATGCACAAGTTCTCCATCATTTGCACTTATGTTCTGGCTTATCTACCCTTTTCAACGGGTTCTTTCACATTCAATTTCGATTCACTTGGAGTCCTGAGCGCACAGCGAAAGGCCGTACTGCCGGTCAGAGCCAGGCAAAACCTTCCGGAACCAACCACCTGCAGCCAAAGCGTACTGTCAAGCAAAGGACATGATTCAGTGAGGTTATCGCTTCTGAAGGGGCCTATCATATCGCTTTTGCAGGTTTTAGCTAATTTGAGATTCACGACCGCTCTTTACTAGACATTAAAAGAAAGCCCCGAAGCGAGCCAAAGCAGGGCACGCATTGAGTTCCCAACTTCCATCCGGGTCAAACGACTAAACGGGCAGGAACCGCAAGATCAAGATCAGTGAGGACCAGCGCTCTCAACGAATACGGTCAGTATCAGAATGGATGCTGGGGAGGTCATTGAAGTGCCAGCAGAGTTCGGGTCAGCCTCGAGACCAAGATGAAATGTATACTGGGTGCATGGGTAGATACTCCAAAGGGGGTCATGCCTTCAGGCAAAATAAGGCTCACGAAGCATTGGTGGAACGAGAGTTGGCCATATAACCCTTGCAATGCGGCAAGCCGAACACACCTTTAAGCTCAGCTCAACCCAGTGTGAAGTGTCACATGCGCAGCGCTAGAAAGTTCGGAGCCTTATGAGGGTGTGAGAAGATCAGTTGGCTAAAATGAGGACAAACGCTGCTAGCAGAGCTGGCCTCCGGTATTCCGGTACTTAACATTTTTGGATCTCGCTGGTAGGTTGGAGGCCATCGCTGTTTGACAAGATCATTTCAGCAAGTCAGTGTTCTTCCTTTCCATGTTGTAGATGTTCCAATGCTTCCACATACACAGGCATTTAAGCAGCCAGAATGTACTCTCTCGCATGTGCGCGTTTATGTTTGTTAATATGTCTGTCCTCATGTGTGTATATATGACTCCCTGTTCCTGAAGGGACCTTGCACTTTCCGGCTGTCCTTACTGGCTTACTTAACTTCTCTTTAACACCGAGCAAGGACGCTACCAGGGGCTCCTGGCCGTACTACTACAAGTAGGAGCAAGGACGCTACTAGGGGCTCCTGGCATCGCTACTAGTAACCAGAACAAGAACGTTACTAGGAGCTCCTGGCATCGCTACTAGTAACAAGAACGCCTACTAGGATCCCATTGTACAGAAAAAGGACCAACACAACTGGCACTGCGCGTCCAACGAAGGTGTCAGTCGGTGCTGATACAGCGGGGGATGCTCCACTGCGGACCTGCCGTTTTTGGACTTTCGGTGATGCAAAAGATCCGTTGTTTCCCAGGTCGAGGTCATGTGCACTAGGTTGGAGGCCATTGCTTCTAGGTTGGAGGCCATCGCTAGTAGGCTGGAGTCTCGCCTTAACTAACACTAAAGGGCCATTGAGTGAACCGGCATTGTCCTCACTGTGATCTCATCATGCCCACATGTGCGGGCTCCTATGTATCCTCATGGAGTGTGTGTGTGTGTGTGCCCTTAACTTATATCTGTGCTCTCATGTGCGTGGTAGGGTCCAACTCAAAGATCGTTGACCAAAATGTGTATGCACCGCAACACTCTTTGAGGGCCTGTGGCCCGTTTTTGTGGCCAATGCAAAGATGCAGACTCAGGTGGTGATTGAACAGCCCGAGACTGAGCCACTATTGCAAGCGCTGACGCAGAAGACGCTTCGCTCCAAAATACAATTATTATGCGAAGGCCACGGTTCCACACAAAGGTTATTCTGTGTTTCGTCCCCCAATCAAGAAGAAACGACTGCACACAAATGTCATAGTGAGAAGGAACTGAGCAAATCATGATTTCATGACCTGCATCTGGAGTGTCCATCACATGCACACCCTCTGTAGGGATTTGAAGGACAAATGCAGGCGTCGCAGCAGTGTCTCCGTTTGCCTCAAGCACACTCTTGTGTGTCGGCAATGCTCCACTCATGAACTTTGATGGAGATTTCTCTCGCTGCATATTTGGGACAAGGTAGAGTGAAATGCAGTTAGGTCAGAAGAGATAAGCTGCGCTAATGCTAAGCCAAGCTAAGCCAAAGAGCCACATCGTAGAGCGCCAGTTGCATTGAAGTTGGCACCAGCAGTGGGGCAGAGCAATGGTTACCTCAGGAGTGCCAGTTTGCACAATCTGGGTGCTATTCGGTGGAGGTCATCGCTACTAGTAACAAGTGCATCGCTACTAGTAACAAGTGCCACGCTAGTAGTAACAAGTGCCTTACTAGTAGTAACAAGAAGCTACTAGTAACAAGTGCCACGCTACTAGTAACAAGTGCCTTACTAGTAGTAACAATGTTCGCTACTAGTAACAACACAAGATTCATTGGTCAGGACTCGGCTCTAAAGGCTCTTTCTCCGCGAAGACGCGAACTCTTGGACATGACTTTCCCAGGCACTACTGCAACCTAGTGGCAAACTATCTTATACAGGCCTAGGACGCTACTAGTTACTAGTAACAAGGGCATCGCTACTAGTAACAAGGGCATTACTATTAGTAGCAAGAAGCTACTAGTAACTATATAAGACCTTTCTATCCTTTCTTCCTTTCTATTCTCTTTGTTTCTAGTAGCAATGGCCTCCGACCTAGGAGCGATGGCCTGCAACCTAGTAGCAAACTACTCTATTACTCTTTCTGCAACTACCTTTATTACGGCCATTGGTCTGCTACTCCTGGTGCTGCTACTCCTGCTACTGCTACTGCTACTGCTACTACTGCTACTGCTACTACTGCTACTGCTACTCGTATTCATACTCCCACTCCCACCACCACCACCACTACTACTGTAGTGTTCTAATCTACAGAAAAGATCTTTCAAGAAAGTGTGGCTGCCCACTGGAAAAGCTTTCTTCAAGATTTCCGTGACGCCTCCCTGCGAACTCTAAGGCGCCTAACAGCTTGCCTTAGATTGCCTAAACCCCAGCCGTCTATTTGGCAAAAGAGAAAAAAACAAAAATACATGTCTCAGCTCTTTTGAGTGTCTCCGCTAATCAAATATCGCAAATAACCTGAGAAAACAAGCAATTTCGGTGACCCCTTGCATGGGATTTGGGTCTTCAGCTTAGTCCGAGTGGCATCGAAACTCTTGGACAAAGTCTGGCACCGGGTTGGATTTGCCACAGTTCGGACAGCGATGTGAGATCGACGGGGTGGCCAGGTGCTCCCGCACTAAGTGTTGAGCCTTGGTGTTTTTCGGTTCACAGCGGCTTCACGAGCTTAAGTTCACTGGTTCTAAAGCCACCTAAGAGCGATGGCCTTTGCTCCTAGAAGCTACTTGCTCCTAGTAGTACGGCCAGGAGGCCCCTAGTAGCGTCCTTGCCCCTTGTAGCGATGCCAGGAGCCCCTAGTAGCTTCTTGTTCCTAAGAGCGATGGCCTCCAACCTAGTAGCTCAAGTTCACTGGTTCTACATCATACCGTCCAGAAAATCTACCAACATGTTCCATAGCTCTGCGCATCAATTGGCCAGGCGATGTCAATTCAATCGAAACTGTTTTGCTTGGTCTCTGTCATTCTCTTTCTCTTCCTTCAAACTGTTCGCGTTGTTTGGGTTGCTTCTGAGCCTCGCGCCTTCTTCATCAAGTTGTGGAAGTCACCCCGAGCGAAAAGGCTAGGGCCAGTGTTGTGCCGCCTATCACGCAAGACCACCAGCTGTTTGCAGCTCCAGGTGGGAATCCTCGGACGACACTTGTCCACACCGTGTGACTGACGCACCAACAAGACCAAACTTTTTGTGGATCCAAACTCCGAATCCATGATGCTTAAAATATCTTTACATTATTGAATTCTTGTGTGAATTCTTCGTTCCTTCTCAGCTTGGCTTTCTTCCCTACTCGTCTGCATTTTGCCTTTTGGGTTCCGACACAAGGGTTCCTCCTTGAGCGATGGCCTCCAAAAAATGGCAATGGCCTCCATCCTACTACTCCTACTAGCGATGGCCTCCACCCTAGTAGCGATGGCCTCCTTAAGCGAGTTTGCTGAGCTTTTTGGGCTTTGCGTCATCAACAGCTTCTGCTCCAGATCCACTGAGCCCTGCCATAGTACAGCGTGGGCTTCCAGCATCCGGACGCAGCTCTTGCAACCCGTCTTTCGTGCCAAATCCAGTGGAGTGCTCCTGCAAAGCTTGAAACACACGCGACACGCCACATCCACCAAGGGGAAAGCTTGAGAAAAGAATTGCCTAAAGGCCTAAACATGCCTAAACACTTCCCACTTTGGGTTTGTCGCTTGGCATAAGCATGCCAGATACTTTTAACTGCTGTGAGGCTCATCGAACTTTGTGCCATGTTACAGGAGGAATGAGCTACTTCAGGACAGCAAGTCCGGTGTGTTTCCATGCTTTTCAGAGCCCTCCACCCAACAACGATACCGTTTGGAGCATGTTTCTCGCTCGGCGTTTTGGGTCTCCCGAGCTCGGTCGCAGCATAGGCATCTGCTCTGCGCTCCAAGAGTTGCTTCACGCAGCTGCTGCAATGTGGCCAAGCCTCGGTTCGAGCTGCGTAGTGCAGCGCGGTCCACTGCGTGGAGTCGCGGACGTCAATGTCAGCGTTGGCCTCCAAGAGCATTCGCAACAAGTCCAACCTGGAGGCCATCGCTCATATAGATGGAAAGAATGAAAAACAGAAAAGAAAGAAACAGAGCCGCACCCGACACATATGGATATGACACCCTATGACAAAGAACGCCAACAGGGACAATGCAACATGCAGCAAAGCATGAAATTAGCCCCTATAGGCCTGGCATGTTTGGCAGCGATCTGCAGTGGAGATATCCCATCTAAGGACAACTCATTCAGCACCTTCTGCTGATTTCCACCTTGCCGTGCAACCAATACACAGTCCAATGCAATTTGCACTGACAATAGGAACTCCGACCTCACCAAAAAAGAGTATCTTCCATCTCTGGAAGAAAGCAAATTCCCATATGCAGAAGCACGTGCTTGTTCTAGACTACCTCCCTCGTGTGTCTGCCACCCTAGCAGAAATAAGATGTGCCGCAAAGCGCTAGCACCAGGCCTTGCCTTCTGAAAGTTTCCGCAGAAGGGTCTGAAGACCTTGAACATCGCCCCTCTGCACTGCTTGGCAAAGCTCCTAAAGAGTGAAGCATCGAGGCATTGAAAAATGGTTGGGCTTTCCCACGGCCACCTTGTGTTTGCAGTTGGCCAACTGCAAACAAATGATGTCATGTGTCATGATGTGATGAGTGAAAACATTATGTATGATGATGATGATGATGATGATGATGATGATGTGTGTGTGTGTGTGCGTCCGTGCGTCCGTCCGTCCGTGCGTGGGTGGGTGGGTGTGATAACTTGCTTCCAGTTCGCCGACGGCACGGCGTTGCACAGGGACGTCACACGCGTAATTTCGCCGCACCATGCATCACATACTAGATGCCACAATGCGACACGCATGCTTCACCTGCCGCGATGGCACGAAGCAAGGCAAGGGCACTTTCCCCTAGGCCAAGCCAAACTGCATGGCACAGCAACATCACCGACGTAGTTCCGCCACACCGTGTGTGACACTCTGTTGCAGCCCCTACAGTACAAAGCAGCAATTGTGTCAGTTAAGTTGTGTGAGTTGGGTGAGATGAGTGGCGGTGGGTGACGAGGAGAACGGGACGCGAAGTAAGCATACAACAGGACTGGCATGTGGGGAAAATGGAAGGTCTCCCTGTTACAAGCGCCCCTTTAACGTCCTTATGAAAGAGACCCAAACACCTGATTTTTGCACTCTCTTAGGTTGGAGGCCATCGCTCTGATTTTTGTTTCTTTTGACCAACAGCTCTCGCAGCTCGGCCTGATTGGCTTGTTTCACTGCTTGGTTGCCCATCTTTGGCAGCGCCACAGAATCAACACCATCAAGGCATCTTTTGAGACTTTTGTCACAGCGTTCTTGTCCAATGCGTGCTTGTTCTAAGCGCTCCTGCTAGGACGAAATGAACCTAAGAAGACCAGGTGCTAAGTCGACTGTTTGCTTCTCAAATCCTTCTTGTAAGGAACTCTTTTCCTCAGGGCAGGCCTGAAAAAGCATTCATGTCTAACCCTCTCCGGGAAACTCTTTCTCCGAGTACTAATTATACATTCAGCTGGGAATATAGTTCCAATCTGAGCCAAAACCCTGCGGGGCTGTTGGAAGGTTAAGCAACAAAAACTCGGTCTTGGCGCTCTGTTTGCACCCCATGACATCCGTGCGAAGGCCCGGGCTTCTTCGAGCAATATGGAGACTTCATCGCATGGCATGGCCTCAGCCCAAACAGAAAAGCGGTCCTTCGATACTGTGGTCCCTCTGGGTAATCCAAAGCGGTTGCTAAGTAGTTTGCGAATTCACCCAAATCGCTCTCCTCGTCCTCAGTTTGTGGCGTCTAGAGAATCATCCTGCCTCCCCTTCCAGCCCTTCCTTGCCTGAGAATCATCCTGCCTTAAGAAGCTTCGCCTAGTATGTTCAGTGAAGTATGGCGAACACTGACGGAATCTTATCGTGCAGCACACACAAGGCCGTCTAAAACTCATATTTTCCAGCGCCTCTCCATGATGGCTTTGCAAATCATTTGGCAAATCTGGTGGAAATGCACGACACTCTGTCTGCCCAGGTCCTGAACATGAAATTGTCTAGGACCTGACTCCTTCCAGAATGTCCTTGACAAGGAACTTAGAAGAATTGAACAATTCTCATCAAATGTCCTTGAATTCCAGAACGCTGGATGTGTCAGTCTGCCGGATATGAACCTGCAACCGCAGACTCAACAAGACTTGTTTTCCGTTGTTCTGCCAGCTGCTTACCTCAAGGTACACTGGCACCCAATTGATGAAAATGGTTGCAAAAAGGCGTCTCTCCTGTCAACTTACACCAGTGAAAGGCATGCAAGTGCTGCTGACTGCAAATAAACCACTATAGTGCAAACATTGCAAAGCAAGTAATCTGCTATTAGGTTGAAGGCCATCGCTCATCCCATCCTTCTCATGTACTTCTTCAAGGCAGCACAGGATGTCCTCAGGCAATCTTACGAGAACCAGTGAAACGGAATTTGTTGGGTGCTGAATCAGGAAAGTGGAAATTCACAGACCCTTGCTTTAGTCATAGCCTTGACCATGGCAGCATCATACTCTGACAAAGCAGACACACTTTAAGACGTAAGGTATGCTGTATGCTGATCAACTTTGTTTTGTACTTCCAACGAACGGCACTTGTGCTACATGTTAGCCATGTGTGTTTCGTCTCTGTTTTTGTTGCAACAATGAAAAGGAACGCCAGGCACATTCTGCCACAGGTTACCCCACCCAATCTTCGCCTCAAATAGTCTTTCTTTCCATTTCAAAACAGGATTGGGCGCTTCGGGCCGTTCCATTCCACACTCTTCGCTTTTTGCTGAATTCAGAGAGTGACATTCAGTATTGCCCTGTCGTGCTCCAATGTGTAGAGATGGTGGGTTGACAGACAGCTTTAAGATTTTCGGGCTGTGGCTCCATCCACATTCTTCATGTGTGTCTCCGTCTGTCGGGTACTTCGTAGATTTTACGTCAGTCTCATCCTTCTCTTCCTCAACTCGCCTCCCTAGTGCCGAAAAAAACAAAATGTGGTGCACCAGACCCGTGCTTAAACCACCGCGCTCGCGCTTTACAGTATGTTCCGGTCTCTCAAGAACACCCTAAATACTCCAAAGGGAGGCCATTGCTAGTAGCTTGGAGGCCATCGCTAGTAGGGGCTCCTGGCATCGCTACTAGGAGCAAGGACGCTACTAGGGGCTCCTGGCCATACTACTAGGAACAAAAAGCTACTAGCAACAAGAAGCTACTATATAGGTGGAGGCCATCGCTACTAGAAACAAAGAAACAAGAGATACTTGTGGTGTCTATTTTGAACGACCCCTCGACCACTGTACGATGGATGTCTCATATACGCCACCACTGGCTCCAGGAAGGAAAGGAAACCACTTGCTTCGGAATCTGTTTGCACTACTTGCCTTTGGACACAAATGGCCTAAAACCTAATAGCAAAAGGAACCTACTAGCAATGGCCTCCAACCTAAGAGCGATGGCCTCCAACCCCTAAGAGCTATGCACATAGTACGTACTGTATCACATGCGTAAACCTGTTTGCGAGACTGTGTTCGGTCCTGTTGGGACCCTACACATGAACTCCGTATCACCACCCGGCAAGACATTGAAGATTGCGTGAAAATGTTGTTGCACTACAAAAAGCTTCTTGTTACTAGTAGTAAGGCACCTGTTACTACTAGCGTGGCACTTGTTCCTAGTAGCTTCTTGTTACTACTAGTAAGGCACTTGTTCCTAGTAGCTACGGAGCTACTTTGCCCTACAAAAATGAGAATGTCATGTGTTTTTGTTGGTTAAGACAATCGTGAAAGGAAGACTGCACCAAGCAAGTCTACTTTTTATATTTACATAGACCGTTCTTTATTTATTATATGTTTAATGTTTTTGAGCATGTCTATTTTGTCTTTTTTGCATGGTTTGAAGCTGCTTGCAAAACCAAGACGGCCATGAGAACAAAGCACCACAACAAGTCTGCTTCGCTTTTGCACCCATCCTGCTCAAGAACCCGAATCAACTCCAGAAACGCTGCATGTCCCGGAAGCGGAACCTGTCACCCAGCCAGCAGTTTTCTGGTTTTCAAGCACAGAATGGCACAGCTTTCTGCCTGCAACTTCGTAGAGCTTAGAGGTTCCTTCACGGGTAAGGCAACGAAAGCATTTGCAAATCAAACAGGAGACATGCTTGCAAATGACTTGCGACCTCCTCATGAACAAAGTCCAGCCTTGGCTGAACAAGCTGACAAACAGCACTGCTGTCAACTTGCTGAGTAACAAGCCTCCTGGCAAGGACGCTACTAGGGGCTCCTGGCCTTACTACTAGGAGCAAGAAGCTACTAGGAACAAAGGGCATCGCTACTAGGGGCTCCTGGCATCGCTACTAGGAGCAAAACTGAGGCAGCAGCCATTTCGCCAAGGGTGCGGTTGTGGTGCCCCTCTTCGCATCTCTGACATCTCTTCGCCATTTTGGACCATCTCTGGCTTCTCCCGTGACTTCCATTGCTTCGGCGCCCCACCCTAGCACCTTCATCTTTCAAGCCCTGAGATGGCTCAGGACGATCCATTCAAGACTCCAAGGACTTTGGGCAATGGAATCACCAAAGTGTGCTACTCAAGTATTACTGGCCTCCGTCCTAAGAGCGATGGCCTTCACCCTAGTAGAGATGGCGTCCAAGTCTTGATTTTGTTACATTTAGACTTCCAAAGTGTGCTTCGTAAAGCTTGCTGATGGTAAACAGGGACCTTCGGCAGCAACGCTTTTGTCGCAAAGCTCAGCTTGCGGTTGTGGCTTAGAGCACCAAATCAGGAAAAGTGCAGCCAAAAACCCGGAGGCGCTTTAGCCACCGCTCTCCTAACCGACGAGGGAGTCCAAGCTTGCAACGCAAGTCGATTCAAGCTTCACAAAACTGAAGGCTGCCATATGCCAACAGCATACAGAACCTGCAAAGACTTGAAAATAATGTGGAAAGATTCATTAAGCAACTTATGCTAAACCCCACAGCAACATGCACCAAAAGTTGTCATGCATTTTTCATATGAGGCGCCACCCCGGGTACATTCGAGTTTATCCGGTACTGTACAAGAATGGCAAGCTATGCAGTTCTCCTTCTGATCTTGGGTTGCCTCGAGACCTCTCCCACAGCCCCTCTAGCTTCATCCTGCACCTAGCATGCTCTTTGACCAAAGCAATGGCATGGACAGCCGGACAGCCAGCACCCCAACATCCAAACATAGCTTCCCTCCCAACCAAGCTCGCACCATGTAGGGGAAAACAAGGTGGAAAGTGTCGGAAATGACAGCACCGCACAAAATGGCATAGGTGTTCAGTCTCAGTGCTCATGCTGCTCATGGGTTTTTGTTGGTCAAGGGGGCCAATCTCGCTGTAGCTTCCGAAAGGCCCCATCAGACTTTTCAGATGAAACCTCCGTCATACTTCCAGTCATCCTTCTGCCCACCAGCCCCTTCCCGACAACATTCATGTCTGACATTTAAGCAGAAACCAGCATAAAAACAAGAAGCTAATAGAAACAAGTGCATCGCTACTAGTAACAAGTGCCTTACTAGTAGTAACTGTCAAAGCACAAATCACTGGCAGCCACACATCTGGCGGCTTATTTTCCATCCAACCCAAGAGCCGTTCAAAAGCTTCGATCGGACGAGAAAATCACATCTCTAAAAGTGGTCACACGTAAGACTGGCAACTTCACCGCGTGGTGAGAATCAACTAAGTCCACTCAGTTTCAACATTGGTACGAAATCTCTTTTGGTTCTCACTGCGTTTTAGTGCCTTGTCATGTAACCGGACTCTTCCGCTCTTTTCACGGAACACACGCCCAAGTCCTGACTTTGTCAGGGCATCTGCAAGCTGGTAGGGACTGGGCACCCACAACAATCTACCCTTTTTCCCCTGACCCCTGAGTTTCACAAATCTGACGAAGCATAGCAATATGGACGATTGATCCCTTGTCAGAAACATGTTGCCCCTGTTTGCGGATACAGTCATATATGGATTTACAGTCGGTAATCATGAACCTCGGTTTTTGTATGGACTGTAGTACTCGGTCATCAGTTCCAGGAACGGCTTTGGATCCAAGACGAAGTTCCAACATCAGGGCTTGGCAAAAACGTCCTTGACTACGTCCTTCTAAGGCCGCATGAGTTTCTGCCGCGAACGAACTAGCCACTACTCGACGAATCATTGCTGATCTCCAATCAAGCAAATTGATTTTGTTATCGCTTCCTTCTCGGCTACATGCTCCCTTTTCAACAAAACCGATGACACATCCGCGTTGCGAATATACTAACTTCTTGTCGTTTGGGTTTTGTAAAAGGCAAAGGTCATCAGCCTCCTGCTCATTCTCTTTGCCTACAGAATTGTACAAAGCAGCATCGTGAAACACCACCAGCTCCCACTCACGCCCAAGACTGCGCAGCGTAATTTCACTGGGGTTGTTTTTAACTTCTTTGACAAGACGATTGGCACCCAACAAATCTCCTACGACTCCTACAGTCAGCCGTGGAATGCGTTTCAGAAGTTGGTTAACTTCAAAACTAATGTCCGGTCTTGTTTGCGTTGACAACCATTGCAGGCTACCCATCGTAGACCGAAAATCAGACATTTCAGACGCACTGGCTTCCGAATTGCTTTCTTTGCTTCTTTCTTTGGAAAGGGGGATTTCTTCCTACCGACCCCGAGAAAAATTCTCCTGGGAAACAAGAATCGCCTTTTCACCTTCCTTTTCTTTAACTTTCACCTCTTTACCACAGTAGGTTGCACCTCCGTTTGCCTCAACATAGTTCCACTCACCAAATGGCAGCCGTTTATGCAATCGTTCAATAACATCTTCACACAGCTGCAGAAAGGGAAGTTCAAGTTGTCTACGCTTTCTTAACCGCCGACGATCTTGGGATGAGGGAAAACTAACGCGGGTGATGGGGCGCCACAACTGACTAGGGAAAGCCACTATCACCAACCGGGGTCTCTGTTCCTCAACAAACTCTAACACCCTACTTCTTTCAAGGGGGTCACGCAGGTTTAAACTAGATTCCACATCCACAACATTCCAGCCCCACCTAGAGAAGCGGAGGGAAATTTCGGCCTGGCTTCCAAACACTTACATCAAAAGTGGGTCATTCGGTACTGCTCCACACACAGCAGCAACAGTGAAAACTGAGCTAGCTATAGCTTTGAGGTTCCCGAACAACCGCTTAGCCATGCCCCGCTTCATATGCTTCCGACACCCACTCCCCTCGCGAATTCGCTCCCGAATTAACTCTTCTCAGAGGGGTGTTCTAGCAGGGTCAACTATGGACGACGCTGGAGTTTCAGGCGCTCCCAGTGCATCTTCATCGCCTACTTCTCCCGTGGCTCCTTTCCTTTCCGCTGAGCGAGAATGGCCTCCATTTCCTCCTTGCTCACATTCATGTTGATCCGAGGTTCTTCCTGCAAAGCCAAGTCGTCTTCTAACTGATTCGGCACAGGCTCCCATGAACGATCTGAGCTGTCGCTGAAGAGGAGGCCCACAGCGCTTCACCATTGCCTTGGGAGCTGTGGCTGCTTGCCCTGGAGTCTTGGGAATCATGCTGGGGTCTGCATAGCCGGTCTGGCTTTTCACCTTTGCAGCTTCGCTCTGGCGCAAAGCCTGTTGCATCACTGCAGCTGGTTGTCCTCCATACGTCTTGCTCAATGTCTCCCGACAAGCTGGGAACCTCAGGCAACCGTAGAACTCTTCCTTCGTCATCCTGTTGGTGCGAGTCACCATGGGGATCTGACATGTCTGGTACAGTGGGGTTTCCGGACAGGTCTCTGGTGGTTCTTGACTCCCCCGTGATCTCCAGAATGAACTGGGAACGACGCCAGCCCTTCCAGCGCTGATCCTGAGCTGAGCGGCCCAAGGACGGAGCCACCATCTCGAGGTATAAGAGTGTCCAGCTTTGCCTTCTTCCAGCCGTTGGGGAGAAGAGCTGGTGCCTTGCGCGGCTTCAACGCTGTCCATATCTCCTTTAGCCGGGGAACATCGCGACGAACCAAATCCGCCACAGGCACTGCGCAGCGCTCTGCGACGCGCTCCACGTACTCGGGCTTGTTCTTCGGCGCAGCCGTTGAGGTCATGGCTCGAGCAAGGTTCGCGTTGCCCAGGCTCTTGTTCACTCTCGCTCGCGCACGTCAGGGCTACGGAATGACTGGTGGGCTCAGGGGGTTCTAGGCTATGCAACGTCTCTTGGGGGTGCCCAGTGTGACCCTGAACCCGTTTCACCCCAGTCCTGGACGGCACGATCAAAACTTCATCCTTCTCAGCCAAGTGCTCAGCCTTGAGGAAGATCATCAAGTCTTGCTCTGCGACAGCTCCATGTGCTGAACCAAAGGACGTAATAGCCACACCTACTTGCTCATTTGGGGTATTGACCAAGCGACCTTGGTGCCAAGTTTGCTGAATGCCACTTTTTCTTCACCCAGGAACATGGTCGTTCCCAATGCCTTCAAGGCATTCTTGCTCAAAAGCAAGGGAACCCGCTGCCGCACCACGCTCACCCGCACGAGCGCAATGTTCCGAGCTCCAGCAATGCCTAGAGGAAAAAATGAGGGCAAACGCGGTGTAGAGCCGTTCTCCCGGCCCAAAACGAAAGGGCTCCTTTTCTCGCACGACCAAGAATTCAATTCCCTGGTCCCACAATCTCTGCATAGGTCCTTTCGCCCAGGCTTCTCCTGCTACTGTCTTGGCGCAGCAGGTGTCAGTCATGGCTAAATGCTCTGCTCCAGGAAGGTCTCCACACATCATCATGACTTCGAAGGCTGCTTCTCCACTGTCTGTGGAATCATCTTCTTCTCCGGCCCCTTCCACCACAAATACCTTCTTTTCCTTCTTGGCTTCCGTGTTGTAGGGGCACTCCTTGTCTTTGTGCCCACTTCCAAATACGGTCTTGCCGTGTGCTCGGCAGGCAGGCACTGCATGCCATCTTGGCCTTGAGAGACTCTATTCTGGCCTCACGGTCTCCTGCACTCTCGACTCGCTGAAAGCCACGAGCCCGCTCAGCCTGGGAACGCCGCTTTGCGGCCTGAGTCAACAGAACCTCTGCCTCTTGTTCCATCATCAAGGCCTCCTCATCTTCATACTTTTCACGCTCTTCTTCTTCACCGGGTTCGCCTTCATCGACTGCTTCTAGGTTGCCACCAACTGCGTGCACACCGCAGGTTTTGTTCTCCTTCAGCTGGTGGTCCCGACTGACGTGTCGAGGTCCTGGCTTGCCGCCCTTGCTAGCGCTAGCCGGATTCTCATCATCTCGCTTCACGGTCGGCACTATGGCTACAAGGGCCGATCGGAGGCGTTCGTAGTCATAGCTACCGCCCGCTGCTGCCACACACTGCGTTCGCAGATCATTGGAAATCCCTGCGCATTCAAGAAACCCATAGGACTCCATCAAGCCATGAATTCCAGCTCCAATTTCTTCCAGCTTTTGACATTGTGCTCGAAAATTTGCGTCGAAGGTCAAGAAAATTCTTCCCCACGAGCTCGCCTAAAATTGCGGAAAAAATGGCGCAGAACAGAGAAGGTTTGCAAGTGCTCCACTGGTTCCAACTCCTTTTGGAGGTGGCTCGGCAAGCAATTCACACCATGGGCAGACCTGAGCTTGCTGACCTCTAACGTCTGCGCGGCTTGCCACGCTCGGCCTTCTAACTTCTCAACGAGCCTCCCTGCTCGGAATTCTTCCGGGGGTTGCTAAAAACAAGTCCACGATGCCTGTAGTCTCTGAGGGGCGTCGATCCATCAAATGATGGAAGAACTTCCTTTCCAGCGATCTTCTTGCCATCACCTTTTGCACCACTACCACTCCCGGCGCTGCCGGAACCTTCTTCTGAACCAACCTTCTGACCACGGAGGTCACTGCCGTCATCTTTCTGCCACTCATAGGTGTCTGCACGCGTCCGATCACTCCAGGAATGGTTGCTCCATTCCGCCCCTGAGTCTCGTCGGTGCTCTCCACTCCACTGCCACTGCCACTCGGCATCATCCTGGCTCCATCGGGGTGCCCAACTCCAATCATCCCAAGCTCCAGGATGATCGCCGCCATGCATCATCATGTCGTTGCCATCCATCATACCAGCGACCTTGCCAGTCATCAATCTGCCATCCTCCATCTCGGGCTGAAGGATCCTCACTCCACCACTCATCCTGGTTGGTAGACATATTGGGCTCAAAATCAAAGGTCTCGAATCGGCACGGCTCCGCGCCACCAATGTCAAAGCACAAATCACTGGCAGCCACACATCATGGCGGCTTATTTTCCATCCAACCCAAGAGCCGTTCAAAAGCTTCGATCGGACGAGAAAATCACATCTCTAAAAGTGGTCACACGTAAGACTGGCAACTTCACCGCGTGGTGAGAATCAACTAAGTCCACTCAGTTTCAACAGTAAAAATAAATAGTAATTAAGTTCAATTAGAATTTAATTAGAATTAATAGCAAAAGAGGCGGGCGCGCGCGATGGGGGGGTAGGAATAGTTCTGGACACGACATTCGTCCGTGGACAAAAGAAACAGAAATGCATGGAATGACGGAAGAACATAAAAGTGGTCACTGCAGTTCTTTTGCAGAGTAGAAGGAAATGAAACAAATCTTGGTTTGATCAGAAGGTTCTGTATGTATTCATTCAAAATGACCGACAACTACCTGCCTGCACCAGAGCCATGTCACGTAACATGGTGACGGCACCAGTTAGCAGATTAAGCCTCAGAAGCCGCAAAGACTCAGGCTGATCAGGACAAACAAATGTGCAGGGTGGTCCTGTTCATGCTGGAAATCCGGTCAACACCATACTTGCAAGGCATTCAGTCCATTCCACTCAGCACTGGGGGGGAACACTAATGTGTTTGCTAGGCATTACTCTCAAGAACGCTACTAGGGGCTCCTGGCATCGCTACTAGGAGCGATCGGACGCTACTAGGGACAGCTTTGAACTCCACTGGCTCCGTTCAAATTCGCATTTGCCAGGAGGCTTCGAGCCGGGCATCTCCACCCAAGTCACTGGCACCTTCAAGGAAGATCGCTTTGCGACAAGGATTACTAGTAGCGATGCACTTGTTCCTAGTAGCTTCTTGTTTCTACTAGCTTCTTGTTACTACTAGTACGGCACCTGTTACTACTAGCGTGGCACTTGTGTCTACTGGTGGCTTGAAGTTGATGAATTCCAAGACGTGGATCTTGGAGGTTAAGACGTGGATCCGCAAGCTTTCCGTTTCGCACTTTTGACCAAATGACCATGTTGTGACACCAATGGCAATGTTCTGTAACGGCTTGTGATAACGGATGATGTAAAACCAATGATGCTGTTCCACTCACCAGCTCAAAATAAACACAGCTTTTTGAACGACAATGATTTGGCAATGCCAATGGTGTGAAAGTGATGACGATGTTCTGAAACCAATGCCAATGATGTGCAAAATGAAAAAAAAGGAAAGAAAGGTCCAAAGAAAAAGCATCTCTTCAAAAAAGGAAGAATTGTCTAAAGAACAAAGAAACAACAAAAGGAAGACAAGGGCATCACTACTAGGAGCAAGAAGCTACTAGGGGCTTCTGGCCTTACTACTAGGAGCAAGGATGCTACTAGGGGATCCTGGCATCGCTACTATGAACAAGGACGCTACGAACGGGGCTCCTTATAAGTCTTATTGTTACTAGTAGTAAGGCACTTGTTCCTAGTAGCTTCTTGTTACTAGTAGCGTGGCACTTGTTACTAGAAGCGATGCACTTGTTTCTACTAGCTTCTTGTTACAACTAGCTTCTAATCCCCACCGTTGACCCAACGAGTTGGACCGAGTTGGTGGCGATGGAAACGCTTCGCACCCTGCGGCCTCTGTCACGCTTTTTCCCAGTATCCGCGCAAGAATGAGGACCTGGGCCAAGAGCCAAGAGGAGCAGGAAAGAACTAAGTCAAACAAACATCCATGCACTGAAACTCTCGGCTGCATCCTTCATAGTTCAAGTTTCTTTTAAATCAATGCCCACCTCAATGTCAAACGCCCATCTGTAGAGATGCAGGGATGCGAAGATTTGCTTGGCTGCCTTCAAAAGTTCAGCCAAGTATGTTTGGCAAATGCCAAACTGCACAGAGTGCACAAATCATGCAGCGTTTAATCTTCACACATTGGCTCATTCTTTTCACTCTGTTCATTCAGTTCACCCCAGTAATCTGAATCCAGTAATGACAGGTGGCGTTGGCTTTGAAAAGCTTGAAGCCACACTGAGTGTCCTTCACGCTTCCGCCAACCTAGGCAAATGACGAAGAAATTCACGCAACTTGTGTGGATGCAAGAAATCGATCACTTTCAGAGTGCCAAAACACTGCAAAACTGGTATATGTTTGCTTTTCCCTCTAGTGTGGTGCCGGACGTTTTGTTCAAAGGAATTCTACGGCCTAAACACTCAAACTCATGGAGCGCGGAAGTTGACAAATAGTAACAAAAACCATCAAAAACCCCACATAGCACGGATACACCTCTCAAGGTCGACATCAACCATTGCTACGAGTAGTAACAAGGTGCCTTACTAGTAGTAACAAGAAGCTAGTAGTACTCGTAGTAAGGCACCGTGTTACTAGTAGCAATGGTCGACATCAGCAACACATCCACCGTCGTTACGAAAGCCGAACGGCAGGACATCCGTGGCAGGCGCGAAAACCGGCCAAGTGCGCCAGGGAGCAAGAGCTTTGACACTTGAGGCAATAGAAGGGCAAAGTAAGACATGCCAATGAGCCAAAGAGCTCAGTGGATTTACTTGGGCTTAAGTTTCCCCAAAAGTCTAGGAATCCAATGAATAGTACGAGCGCTGTCCTGCGTCCATATGCAGCAGTGTCCTGTAGCTACTAGCTACCTCTAGCTAACCTAACTCTCCCTCTTCTAGCGGCCTACCCCCCCTAAAAAAGCAAAAATTGATGAAATACGATGTCACAAGGGCCAAGTCTTGCCGCAAGTGCAACTCCCAGCTAATGCAATAGTAGTGATGAGCACTACTCGGGGGCAACCACAACAAGAAGTACTCTAACTACTTGGACAGAAAGAGTACCCTGCGGCAAAATTGGCAACACAAAGTATCACAAAATGGCCTTGCAGATCGTACACTGTGTCTTTGAGGCACAAGCTGTCAGCCATCGGCTGAAGAAAAAAAAAATAGCTAAATACTCGAGCCGTCGCATTGACAGAAAGTGCATGAGTACAACTAAGGTAGGGACCAATATCCACACTGCAAAATGAAATCCAACCATCAAGACATTCCTATACCAGGCCCTGAGGGAGGAAAACGAGGCGAAACAAGAAACAAAAAAAGTGAAACAAGTGCGCCTAATTCCGCAGATTAACTAGATAAAGGAATTTCTCAACGCTATGGCCTCCAACCTAATAGCGATGGCCTCCAACCTAGTAGCAAGAATAAGTGCAAGAAAAGAAACGGACTGCACCGAGTTCCGTAGAATGCGAGACTGCACCGCCCCGCCTTTTTGTCAGAGCCTCTTCTCGGAGGTGGTGTCGAGAGCCAAAGGCAATCTGGGGAGCATCCTCCTAAACCACAACAAAGAGAAATAGCCTGAAATGCACAGAACACATGTACCACCGTGTCAAGAGCTTTGGTATGGCGTCTACTTGCAATTTGGACTCTCCTTGGGCCCTAGAGCTCGTTCGAGCCGCTCTAGATCTCGAATGCTGGTGGCCCCATCGGCATCCGCCATCAGCAAAAGCTGCCCTGAAAGCAGAAATAAATCAATACAGGGATTTCTCAACACAGCCTCCTGTCCAAGATAAAAGCTTCTTGCTCCTAGTAGCGATGTCCTTTGTTACTAGTAGCGTTCTTGCTCCTAGTAGCGATGCCAGGAGCCCCTAGTAGCGATGCCCTTGCTCCTAGTAGAATGGCCAGGAGCGCCCCTAGGAGCATCCGATCCCTCCGTTCGTAGTGATGACCTCCAACCGAACAAACATCGATTCACGGCCTCTGGCAGCAAGCATCCCCGCACGGACCGCAAAGCCCTTGCCACCTCAAAAGGCAAAACGTTTCATTCAAATAGAAGCGGAGTGCTGAGTGGGGGACGATTGACGAGCAACTTGATGATCCGAACTTCGCCATGCTGCAGGGATGCGTCCCTGCAAGGTTTGCGAAATCAAAGCCGAAATCAAAGCCATTCCAAACAGACAACCTAGTAGCAATGGCCTCCAACCTAATAGCGATGGCCTCCTCCTAGTTGCACATGATGCCGCTAGTCGACCTTGACATGATGCCGCTCAGATCCAGACCTGCTCGTAGAAAGTGCTGCAGCATAAGTGCCGTCACTGCTGCCATCATCAACAACAATAACCTGTGATCATAGACATCAGGCAGCCGGTGCACTAATACCACACATTCTGCTGATTGAACTTTGCTTCGATCTCTTGCTTTCTAAAAGCTGCTCCGTTTTCACTTTTGGCCTTGCCTCATATGAGAAGGATGTTGCGCCGCCGCGACTCTCTAAGTACGCAAGGGTCTCATCCAACATCTGTGGTAATCGATACTCCTGCCGCATGTGAAGAAAATGGGTGGAGCTGGTCCATGCCTGAAATCAAGATGGACATAAAAAGGGAAAGCATTCTGCACCCAGACTGCTGGGAAGGCCAGAAACTTTCAGATTCTCCTCGTTGTACGCAGGAACTACCACAGAAAGCACCACCTCTGGCGCCTAAAAAGGGCGATGGAAAGATATACAAAAGAACAGAAGTAATAAACATCTTCAGTTCTACATACCATGTAAAAGAATTATTGCTACCTACCATCGTCAGCCTGACCTTCCATGGAGCTGGCACAAGTTCACCAGGAGAGCACTGAAAGGAAGTCCTTCGTCAAGTGCAAAGCAATGGCCTTCAACCTACTAACTAGCGATGGCCTCCAACCTAACAGTAAGGTAACAAAGTTGAAGAATGAGACTGATAATTGAACTCTTGCGCACTTCCTTCAAGTTTATGTCAGCTATTTTCCTGAATGGACATGATTTCATTCGTGAGAGTCACTTGCTTTCGTTTGTCAAAATCTGCCTGGAGATCTGTGACTCCAAGGGCTTACTGCAGCTGCAACGCCAGTCCCAGTACCTTTCTCGGTTCAAAAGCGAGAGACCAGAAGAAGTTCAGAAAAATGTGCCATTGTACCCTGCCATTTGTGACGTTTCAGTCATTTCCCACGGCGCACGGTTTCAAGAAGAAGGCCACGATAGCAACTGTGGTCAGTCCAAACGCAAGCAGGATAAAGACCTCCATTCCCACTGGAGAAAACACCTAATGCAAAAGTAAAACAAGTCACTAAAAAGCACTTGTCACTTGTATTGGTTGCAGGGTTGTAGGTTTACATTCTTTTCTGAATGTGTATATATATATAATTCAGATTGGCCGGACACATTGTCCCAAATACGACTTCCCAATTCAGAACGTCGCAATATGATTTTGGGTTTCAATGCAAGATGTTTGTGTTGCTGATGCTGACCCCTTGTCCAAGCTTGATGACGCTAAGAACGTAGAGAGGCTGCAAAGCATGAAGTATGACAGGCTGCTGCCTCAAATCCAATGACCAAAACCTAAAGAAAGGCCCCAAAATGTCTCAAACACCTGTTGGACTGCAAACAGGACGATTTTTGCATTCTTTGCCCGCCCAGCATACTGTACAAAGCCGGAGTGACAAAGTTCCATAAAAGGTGACAAGTCTGACTTGATCCTGCCGAGCCTTTGGCTGGAGCTAGAATTTTGCTCTCTTCTGCAGACTTTTGGTCTTCATAACAATTTGCAAGGCCAACCTGGATACATCGTTGGTCATCTTGGCAACTTGCTCCTCTGACTCCTCAATTCGACTGCGGGTGGCGATCAAATCATTCTCCTCCTTGTCCATATCATTCATGTATCTCTCCAGCAAAGACCCTGTACGAACATGCTCCATGGACTTGATGTTTTCGCGCAGCCTCGTTTGGTTTTCGAAGATTTTCTTGACGCGGCTGTTGTCTGCACTCTGCCTTCTTTGGATTTCCTTGGTTTCAGCGGTCTTCACCTGCAAGTCCCGGATTTGAACCAAGATTTCGCGCACATCCGAAGCAAAACCATCCGGGTCATTTCCAGATTCATCGGAGGACCATGGACACTCTCGCTGTTCCCAATTCAGGAGTTGCTCTTCAGAGATGTTTTTGGGTTCCAAGAATGCCTTCAACATAGACGCCAAGCGCAGTCGCCCAAGACTTCGATGAAGGATCTGGATTGACTGCTCATCCAGCACATTCTCCTCTCTCAGATGCTTTGCTCGCAGGGAGAGGAACTTTGAGATGCTCGCCTGCACAGTGGGCACAGCAACTTGAAAAGACTTTACACGTAGAAAAAAGGCCGCTCTGCCCCCTACCTAGAAGAGATGGCCTCCAACCTAATTAGCGATGGCCTCCAACCTAGAAGCAATGGAACTTCTTCCCCAAAACATCGTGGAATTAGCGAGAAACCATACAAGTTTGGTGGCGTGCCCATCCCCACTGGAAGCATCTGTCAATGAGTCAAGCAGAATGTATTGAGGTGAACTTTGGACATGCATTTTTGACACTGCAAATCCCAGTCAATGAGCTCTGGAGGACAGTAGGGCGTCATTGTTGACAGCAAACCCTTTTTAGACCTTCTGATGACTTTGGACGGACCCCACATGAGTGCACATCAACCAGACTTGGTCTGAAGTGGAGCCTCGGTACCAGTGTTTGACCTTCAACGTCAACTCAAATCAGAAGGCAAAGGCTAAATCATTCGACTGTGACGGGAAAGCATGCAGACACCGGGCACACAAGTCCCCAACTCAATTTAGGTTCAGAAGGTATCGTGCACGTAGCATCATCTCCACACATTAGGGGAACAAATGCTTTATGTGGAGGAGCAATTGTGAGGAAGGCTACGACAGGTATTCTGCAAGATTGCAAGACCTGGTGACCAAGAGCCAGAGACTTGTTGAAACAACATTTGACTGCAACGACGTCCGACTTGAGAGATACAGGTCAGCAAGCTTCCAGGGATTTCAAAATATATTGTATGAAACAACACTCAATTCCTGAAGTACAAAATCAAAAGTCCATGTATTCGGGGGACATGACACGAATACAAAAACAAGACGAAACAATAACAAAACATGAACAACAAAATGCAATTTCACAATACGAACAAAATACAAACACTTCAATCACTGATGATTTTCATATTTATTGGTATTGATTGAATGTGTTGCAAAAAAGGACTAAAACAAAACAAAAAATACGCCAAAAAAAGAAACAAAACAAGAACGATATCACATATTGCTGTTCGTGTCTCGTATTGTTTTCAAGCTTTCTGCGTCTTCCTGAAAGCAAGTTGTATTTTTGTAGTGCTGATTCATGCTAGGTTTGCATTGTTCATTAAAAGTAAGTCAAGAAAACAGCCAGCTTGAGGAGTTCGTATGTCTCAATCCTGGACTGAGCTTTTGAATTTGCAAACGAAATCACACATGAAACAAAGGCTGGAACAAGGATACTTTACCAGACTATCCACACCTTCCAACACACAAGTGTAAAATGCTTGCAGTCATCTCACCATAAACACGGAGAAAAATCAATTCAAACCTTCGAATCATTGATCACAAAGTGCCGCCTACATTGTGCGGCGACGCAAGTTTCTGAGTCCTATTTCGTGCCAACGAAGGCTCAGGATGGCGCTTGGAAATAAATGCAACTGGCAACTTGGCAGTTCAGCAACTTGCATCATTGCGTTTGGTATTCCTCGCTTGAGGGCTTTGGTGCACCGTGGATCGCACGCGCTCCATTCCCTGAAAGCGCTTGATTCGGATTTGACCATTGAATACCTGATACCCTTCGAACTCTCAATTTCGCTACTAGGAGCAAGGACGCTACTAGGGAAGGACGGGATGACGGGATGGCCAAATCTCCAACGAGTGGAATGTGGACCTCGTGGACGAGCTGAGGCTGAAGTCATGGCCTGTACACACTGATGCGTTGGTGCAGAGGTGGCAGACTTCTAGGTTCGAGGCCATCGCTCTTAGGTTGAAGGCCGTCGCTATAGGTTGGTGGCCATCGCTATTAGATTGGAGGAATCAGTTTCCTTTCTTCCTTATCCATTTTTGTTTCTACTAGCGATGGCCTTAAACCTCAGAGCGATGGCCTCCAACCTCAAAGTCGCTGATCCAAACTTTGCTCAAAGATTTTTGGGTGACATTTACTCTTTCAAACCCTGCCAAAGCACAGTTCAAGGCACGGGGTGTGGAAGGCACGGGTGGTCAAGAATTTGCCCAAAAATTCCACTGATTTGAGCGAAAACCTCAAGACCTTTCAGATGGCGAGCCGACCCTTGCTGGACGAAGGCGTTCGGGCGCGACTTCGGAGGTCGCGCCGTGAGACTGTTTCACCAAGTTTGGAGGGTCATTGAGAGTTGTGCGTGGAAAAGACCGATCGAACATAGGTCAAAGGAATTGTCACCCCTGAAAAACTCGGTCTGATGTGCTGGAGGAAGCCCCCGGAGTTTTGAGGGCCTGGCTATTCTTTCAGGAGGCGTGCCTTTGCATGCCAAACCAATTCGTAATTGGTTGCATACCACTAGTCACAGGTGAAAAACCTTCGGCAGCTTTGCACCAGCTTGGTTGCAGGACGCCCAGGCTGGGCCGTGATGCTGACTATGACTCAGAATGCTACACTCGCGCAACGTTGCCTACAGCCAGAAGGGCACATGCTGCACCGTTAACATAGTCCCTCAAAATACCTGGGTCTCTTTTTTCTTGGCGACTGCGTGCATAGACTCTTCTCCAATTGGTTCACAAGTTCGTCCTCCATGACCTAGTGGTCTTGGACTCATCTTATGCGCAGTATTGTCCTTATCTTGGGCTCCTGGCCTTACTACTAGTAACAAGAAGCTACTAGTAACAAGTGCATCGCTTCTAGTAGCAAGTGCCACGCTAGTAGTAACAAGTGCCTTACTAGTAGTAACAAGAAGCTAGTAACTGGTCCTCACAGGTGTCTTTGCTCTTTGGAAACTCCTCGTTGGGCCATTCAGGCGCAGAGAGGACATCAAAGGTCCGGTCATTGCGCCTGTGGACACGGTATCCTTCTCATTGTACTTGAACACTTAATCAAAATCCTCGGAAAAAATTGGGTCCCATCTTCGGCCTCCGTGTCAAGATGGGCTCAATCTGGTTTCTCGAAGTCACATGCAGGCGTGCCCACAAATGGAATGTGATGCGGTAAAGTGAACTGGGGCGATGCATTGGGCGATGCATTGTGTGTGTATGGATCTTCCATGTGCTGAGTGTGGTCCGGTTTTTTCGTGTGGTGTATGGCAAGGACTTGACACGCGAGACTTGGTGGGTGGGGCTTAACTGGATTGCAGGATGCCTTTCTTCAAACCTGACAATCGGGAGTTAACGGGCCATTGCACCGGAGGCACCCATTTGCTTTGCGAAATGTGCCTCTTCCCACAGCCCACTGTCAATGGGGAAATCGACACCTGAAGACACGCTTGTTACTAGTAACAAGGGCATCGCAACTAGTAGCAACAGCATCGCTACTACTTGTTACTAGGCAAAAATAATGTCTTTTGTTCCTAGTAGCGTTCTTGCTCCTAGTAGTGAGGCCAGGAGCCCCGTTCGTAGCGTCCTTGTTCCTAGTAGCGATGCCCTTTGCTATTAGTAACTTCTTGTTACTACTAGCGATGCACTTGTTACTACTAGTAAGGCACTTGTTACTAGAAGCGATGCCCTGGTCGTCCTAGTAGTAAGGCCCCGTCGTCCTAGTTCTTCCACTCCCCCTCTCGGGTCGAAGACGTGGGCCGTCGGGGTGAGGTTATCACCGTGCTTGGCCGGCTTGTTTAAGGCCTCATTAAAAGGGGCCCGCCTAAACACATGTGTGTTTCTTTTCGCCCTGTTTGTACTTCTTTTGCTTTGATACAAGGTCTTAGACGGGGAGAAATCCAGATGAGAAGTGATCGTGGAAGAGTCACAGATGCGAGTCGGTGAAGGCAACAGTTGGAGCTCAAACGGCAGTTCTGTTGAAGAAGATAAGCTGGAAGCAATGGTCTCCAACCTATATAATAGTTTCTTGTTCTTGCTCCTAGTAGCAATGCCCTTTGCTCCTCGAAGCAATGGCCTCCAACCATCTCCAACCTACTAGCGATGGCCTCCAACCTGCAAGAAAATAGACTGTTGTTGGACTAGTCACTAGTCAAATACAAATGAGTCGCAATCAAAGCAAGAGACAGGAGCAGGAGTGACACAGGTGAGGCATGTGGGAATGGTCGCCAACTGTCTTGCCCAAAGTTTCAGCAGGGACCTGGTGTGCACTCTGACCTTCCACAAACAGTGTGGATAGATTGTGGGGCAACTCTGTTTGTGCGCCTTGTTTTCACATGAGCCCACCGCCTGTGAGTTCAGCCAAGCGAGCGTCACAGTCAAGACATGCTTCTTCATCAGCTACCAATTGTATCCAATCAAAGATACTCACATAAAGAGGTATTGAGTTCTAACTCGTGACCAACACTCCTCTTTCGCTCTGTCTGGGTTCAAGAGAGGCCTCAGTGAGGGGGATGTTCTCCTCGTAGTTTGCCTCTTCTGTCACCTCCGCAAAAGCACCCTGAATCTGCCACAGCCCGCATCCAAAAAACACACAAAGCCCAACCAAAGACCTATCTGCCTCCAAGCTGAAGTCAGCTTCAGGATCAATTGAGAGGCAAAATCGTGCCCAGCCTGGCCAAGCAGTAACCAAGCAACAAAAGAGAACTTGAGGCCATCGCTTCTATGTTGGAGGCTATTACTATTAGGGTGGAGGCCATCGCTTCTAGGTTGGAGGCCATCGCTTCTAGGTTGGTGATGCTCTGCTACAAAGGAAGCAAAAAAATTAAAAAGGCCGAACCTGTTGTCTGTTTGACACAGTGGGTGGTCGATGTGATGGAGAAGCCACCACAATCTGTTCGAGCGGTGTGCTCTATGTAGAGGCACGGAGCTGCTTTAGCGCCATTGTTCTTAATGGAATACCGGGTGGTAAGCTTGTTGCAGTGGTCCAGAACACATCTGCATAGGTTTCGATGTTCATCTTGCTCCAGGCGCACTTGAAAGACTTTGTCGTCTTGGAGGTCACTTGGCTTTGACCTGTTGACAGACAACGTTGTATCTTCTCCCAATGCAATGAGCTGGTCATCCCCAGGGATCATCGGCGCAAACTGGCATTGAGCCACGAAGCGGCCTCAACAGTTGGAGATCAAATGGCAGTGCTCTAAGGCCTCAAACCTACTAGCGATGGCCTCCAACCTACTAGCGATGGCCCCCAACCTACTAGCGATGGCCTCCAACCTACTAGCAATGGTGATGGCCTCCAACCTACTAGCAATGGTGATGGCATCCAACCTACTAGCGATGGTGATGGCCTCCAACCTACTAGCGATGGCCTCCAACCCACTAGCGCTGGCCTCCAACCTACTAGCGCTGGCCTCCAACCCAATAGCGCTGGCCTCCAACCTACTAGCGATGGCCTCCAACCTACTAGCAATGGTGATGGCATCCAACCTACTAGCGATGGTGATGGCCTCCAACCTACTAGCGCTGGCCTCCAACCTACTAGCGATGGCCTCCAACCTACCAGCGATGGCCTCCAACCTACTAGCGATGGTGATGCCCTACAAGCTAGAAGCGATGGCCTCCATCCAATACATTCACACTGCCATTGGCCAGCACATGGTCGGAGGTATTCACCAAGTGAACCGCTCTCTTCACGCAGACTTCGGACTCTTTTGGGTCATAGACGAGCACTCGGTCTCCCTTAATGGCATGCTGGAAGATTGGGACAATGGCTGTCTCCCTGGAGCGAATGGACACCTTGTCAGAAACTTGATAAAGTACATGTTCGGCCAATCCTTTTGTTGCAAGTCCTTGGGAAGCCAGAAATGGGTTTGTACATACTCAAATACTCAATTATGCCAAAAGGTATGAAGGATTGTAAGCTTGATATTGACTCCTTGAATAGGAAACAGCAAATGCTACCTCCTAGCATCACTGTCAATCCCTTCTTTCCTTACTGAGCTAGTTACTACCATCAAACATCATCAATGCTGCAAGACTTGACTGCTCAGCTACGCTTTGGGTCTCGCACTTGCCCTACAAGTCCACTCTATCCCAGAGCTTTTTTGACAAAAGCGAGTCCTTCCAAGGACTCGAAGTCCTCCTGCATCGGCTTGCGAGAAGAAGCTTCCTGCCCTCGCAAACGGAGGACCAAATGAAGAGTAGATTCTTTCTGTATGTTGTAATCAGCCAGTGTGCGGCCGTCCTCCAATTGTTTTCCTGCAAAGATCAGCCGTTGTTGATCAGGGGGTATTCCCTCCTTGTCCTGAATCTTTGATTTGACAGCATCGACTGTATCTGAAGAACTCACATCCAGGGTCACAGTCTTGCCGGTCAAGGTCTTGATGAAGATCTGCATGCAGGCTCCAGAGTTCGCTTCTTTGACAATCTTAGCAAGCTCCTGGTTGCAAAGCCGCAACGCTGCACCAGTCGCAAAAGAGAGGAAGAGTTGGAAGAAGAAGAAAACATTTTTAGCCCGTTCACGTTCCCCCGTCTCTCCTTAATTAACTAGGCGCCTGCAAAATAAGTAAGGGAGAGGTAGCTAGTACCTTACTCAAGCTACTGGCATGGACGCAGGATAGTTCACATGTCTATTCATTTGGTTCCTAGCCTTTTAGGGAAACTTAAGTTAACCGCTACTACTTAATTAAGTAACTACTTTGGTGTTTACTTCAGTCCCCGGCCTGTCGTACTGGCTCGCTTCCAACTGCCAGGATGGACAACTCGTTGGCAACCAAATGCAATTCCTAAGTTGTGGTTCTTTGCTGTTGTCTTTTGGCAATAACTTGGCAAAAAAATCCCTTATACAGTCGCTCTCGACATTACGAGACTATTTTGGACACCTATATAGGCTGGGGTGCCAATGTTTAAGTGAGGAAGGAAGCCTCAAGCACAAACAGGGCAACTCCACGATGCTGTCAAGATATAAGAGTTGAACACTTTTTGCACTGGCAAACTGTGATGGATATATATATATATACCTAGAACCTCGTTAGGCAAGAATTTCCGCCCAACGCCATTTAGGCAGAAAATTCAGCCCGTTTTTGGAAAGAACGCCTAAGCTGCAGCCACATGTTTGGCAGCAAAAACACATCCAACCTTCAGTGCTTACCAAGACTTTTGTCTCGAAAATAGGTTCTTTATTGGAGCAGTTTCTTTGTCTTGTGCTGCCAAAAGCCAAGATCATAGGTCAGAAAAGTAGCCTACTTTCACCCAAGGAAACGTGTATCATTCGTCCTGCTGACTGGAACCGCTTTGTAGCCGCACCCTGTGCTGGAACCAGACCAGTCTGCCACAAAACCTGCAGAACCTCCCAGAACCAGTTGGAACCTGCACTTGAACACTCTTCTGGAGAAAAAGACTAAATATGTTTCCTTGCATGTTATCTATCCTTTTTTGCTAATAGAATTGCATCTCTTTTTCAGGGTGGTATTAAAAGATCTGTGGTAGAGCTAAGTAAAAGGAGAATCCGGTACCAAGGATGTAGTAGAAGTAGAGCTCAGGTTCTTCAACAAAGTTTCTCCCGCCTAAAGTTGACTTTCCTTATATACGTCCGTAGTTTCTTTGGACGTGTCTTCCTGTTTCCTGGATTTTGTACCTTTTCTCTTTAGACTATTTTCTTGTTTCTGTTCTTTCTGTCTGTCTGTCTGGCTTGCTTGCTTTCTTTCTTGTCTTGTCTTGCCTTGTCTTGTCTCGTCTTTTCTTTTCTTTTCTTTTCTTTCTGTCTTTCTTCTTTCTCTTTGTACCTTTCTTCCCTTTTTCTTTACAGTAGAGCTCAGGTTCTCCAAGATGTAACCAATATTCAATAGTTCTTTGAATGAATTGCCATCCAAGTACCACATCAACCCAGTCGTCCTCAGTGCTGTTGCGAACATGCCCGAAGGTATGAAGTGTGACTGCGGCATCAGAGTCAATCGTATTCACCAACACCAAGTCCATATCTTCTCTTGGAAGGTCGAGGCGGTACATGCACTTCCATTCTTCGCATCTGTCCTGGACAACTGATCCAAATATGTGCACCAACAAATAAGCTACCAGAATTTGGGATTTCCCGCTCATCAAGAAAGAGTTTGTTCAGCAAACTAAGTCCAAGAATATCTCCAGCAGCATCACTCTGGAACCTGCTCCGAACCCTTTGCTTAACCAGACCCTCTTCCAGAATATCCTCCAGAGCAATGGAAGATGCATCTCATCTAGTTCCCCTTTGGAATCGACCGGCAGTGCAGCAAACCGAAGAGAGAACCTGCTATGGGCTCTGTGGAACTGTGGAACATGAACAGTGGACCTGCTCGGAACCCTCGTCGACAAAATTGAAACCTTGAAACCCTCACCTACTTGTAGCCGTCTGAACCTTGGCCCAGCCCAGCATAATAGCAGGCTGGAGGCCATCGCTAGTAGGTTGGAGGCCATTGCTAGTAGGTTGGAGGCCGTTGCTAGTAGAGACCAGCCCTAAGCTCTCGGGTAAAATTGCCAAATCCAGCTTGGTGTCCACGTAGGATACCTGGCACACACCATGGGCATCAGAAGACGCTCGGATGGAAATCACCTCTCGATTGTCCTTTGGCGGCGGCAAAGGTTTGGGAAGTTGCTTTTCCAAAGACGTCATCAAAGATTTGCTGAGCTGTTCTTGCATAGCAGCATCAGCAAGAGAAACTTCGACCACCTTCTGAAATGGGATCTTCCGAATGGAACCGCTTTCAAAAATCTGTACATAGGTGAAGTACTCCTCTGTCTTGTCTTGGCAACCTTCAACAGCTCGCTGAGCACGCTCTACCATCAGCAACAACCCCGCTTTGGTTTCCTTGCTATCCAATGTGATGGAAACTCTTGCTCCGCGGCAAGACTGAAGAAAGGCTCCCATGCTGGCATGGTCGAAAGGGTACACTCCATCGAGCAGGCCTTGGTTGCCTTGTGTCGAATTGTTTTTTCCGAAAATGATTGATGCACCGCCAGGTGCGGAGGCTGAGAGGGTGTTCACAACCTGAGTTCAAAATATTCAACAGTGGAAACAGCCGGCAATGGTAACAGACAGAAATCAAAACCAAAAAAATGCAAAAAAAAATCACTGATGCAATCAAATGACCAACTGACGCCGCGATTCTGGAACTCGTAACTGAAAATCAACAGATCCTGGCATGAGCTGACATGTTCCTATTGTGTTTTTGTTTGTTGTGTGTCCCCTTTTTTCAATTGTTTTTCTCTCTCTCTCTCTCTTTCTCTTTCTCTTGTTGTTTGTTTTCTATGTTGTTTAAATTTTTTTTGCCGTTGCCTTGATTTGGTGCCTTTTTGGGGGAGGCGTTCTTTTTCTGTCGCTTTCTGTTTCTTTCTCGGTTAGCTACTTCTAGCTGTTTACCTTCCTAGCTGCAAGGCCCAAGTAGAAAGAACAGGAGCTCATAAAGCGCCGGGTATGCCAACATCAGCCTGATCCAAAGAGCCCCGTCGCTCTGCGAATGCCAAGTTGTTCTTGTACAAGGTGATTCGTGAAAGCGAAAGCGTCTGGGCCATTCAAATAACAGTGCCTGACAAAACTGAAAGTCTTGCGCACAACAAATGCATGAGAACATCCAATAACACGTGCATCGTTGAAACCTTTTGGACAACAATAAAGACCACACCTACTTGCCTCTGCAGCACACACAACAAGATACATCAAAACCAACACACTGCAACACCTTCATTTTCTGTACTGCCTTGCAAGGAGGTTGAAACGAATTAACTACAATGCTACAAGTCTGACAAGCCAAACTGCAGGGGCGGTCACACGAGAATGCGCGCGCAAGGGCCATGTTGAGAACAAAACGGCAACTTGGTTGGCTTCAAAGAACACAACAGGCTACGCCAAAAGACCAAGTACAATGCACATTTTGGTTTTCTTCCTTTGGTGTCTTGAACACCACTGAGAACGAAAGCGCCTTTTCGAACAGGGGGATGCATGTCTCTCATCAGGCTTGGGTTTGGCCTGATTAAGTCACTCGCTGTCTTCTGCTGTAAAGTTGGAGTGGGTGGGTGGGTTTTTGAAAGCTTCGACCCTTAAGGTCAACGGAGCCCGCCACTACCCACCCTTGAAAGAAAATATCACGATATGAAATGCACTTATTTCAAAACACCCGAAACCTCTGGTTTCAAAAACTAAGTCAACACAATCTTCTTCGAAGAGCTTAGTCGTCTTTCTTCGTTTGGTGTCTTGAACATCACTGAGAACGAAAGCGCCTTTTCGAACAGGGGGATGCACGTCTCTCATCTCCCCCATCAAGCACGTGCAGTCCACTGTCTTTCTCAATGGATGCCATCAAGTCTTCTGTGGACAAAGCCTCGAGGGATAGTCTGCAATGTTTGCTTCAGTGGGGACGCGAACAAACCATGCACGAGTATTCAACGCCGCCTCTTTTTCAAGGTGAAGTTTCATGATAAATTCTCCCCACGGTCCTGTGCCTGCTCCCCTTATTAGTGCATATCTCACACGGTCGTTGTCTCCAAACCAAGTGGCCAGGTTGCACGCAAGAAGGTCACCCCAGCGGGACAAGGCATGTACAGCAGCCACAAGCTCAAGCTCATATATTACGGTCTTTTTCGTCTGGCAGCCAAAGATCTTGCAATCGTCCTTGTTGAGGTGAAAACCAAACCATTGAACACATTTGGCAAACTGGTCGACCAGAACTGCTCCTATGCCTCCTGTTTGTTCCTCCTTGTTGTATGCAGCATCCGTGTAAATGAACCACTGCACGATCTCCCTATCTGAAGTCAGTACTGGTCCCAGTGGGACTATATGGATGTCGAGCCCAACTTGTTGGTAGAGCTCCAAGAAGATTCGCAACCAATTGTCATTTGTAACTCCATCCCAAGGTACCACGAAAGGTAGGTATTGTTCTTTCTTCTCACCAACCGCGGAGGTCTTGTGTTCAGTGGTGCAAGGGACCAAGCACCCATTCCGCTTGGATTCAATCTCAACATGGTGGCACGCAGCCGGCTCCAACCCTGTCAATCATGCTATCACCACTCAGCAACACAGAGTGCAGCCTAACAAGGTGTTCCAGCTCCATGGGAGGGGCCTAATGAGTGTGCCCCTTCTTGCGCTTTTCAATTGCTGCAAATCCCTGGATTCCAGAATGCTGTCTGCCCCCTGCAATGCTATCGTGAATTTTGTGAACCTGACCGTCAAGAAAGTGGCTGGTCCAGTGTGTCCACGTCTTTCACAATCCTTACCTCGCGTAGGTGCCTGAAGTGCTCCCAGACATCAGGTTCATGAAGTAGCAGTGCACCAACAAACACACGTCTCTCAAAACAACGCTCCCTGTGCCAAAACATGAAACGCTTCAAACGCCGACCATGCTTTCAATGAAGCTATGCACTGGGAAAACTGCAAGATCTCTTCCTGACAAGTGCCTGCACGCTTCAGCAATGTTGAATAACTCTTTGTTCCAAAGCAGGCCTTGAGGGCGTCGTTTGGCAACCGCCCAAAGGATTGCTCCTGAGATCTTCACAGATATGTCCTTCACAGCACTCAGAAAAGCAGCATCTGCACAATCTTCAACTTCTCCGTTGGCCATCAACTGTTCTCATTGTTCATTGTTTCTTAAAGATGGCTCAATTGCCACACCATGCACCCAGACTGTTGTGAAAGATGCCCTGCGTAGATGTCCCAAAGGACTTCAACGAGGGCTCTGTGAGCTCGACTTGCAAAGTCAGCACTTTCTCAGTCCTGTAAGAGCAGCCTGAGACAGTGCAAAGGTTCCAGCTCTGGCAACACATCTTCGTCCTCAATCTTCCATTTCAATCGAATCATGGCATGCCCTCTTCTTTTGAGAGCTTCGACCTTTAAGGTTGACGGAGTCCGCCACTTGAAAGAAAACATCACGATGTGAAATGCACTTGTGTCAAGACAGCCGAAACCTCTGGTTTCTGAAACTAAGTTAAGACAATCTTCAAGAGCTTAATCTTTCAGGTTTCGAACAAGACACGTCAACTGAAAGTCCCTTTCATATGAAAATTGTGGCCTCTGGATTGTGGCCTGCCCTTCTGACCGTTTGCAACATGAGTCGTGTCGGACTTGGCTTCATCACTCTCACGTCTCAGTTGAAAAGGAGATGGCCCAATCCCTGTATGCCTCGTTGAATACGACAATCACGAATCACGAAGGCTCCGGCTTGTCCCAACATCGCAAGGCCTTCTGTCCAAGGGAGAAAAACTGCTCATGAGCAGCAACCACCCCGTGCACCACAGCGGACTCCTCTTTGGTTACGCAGCTGATGGACGCTCAGACCCGGATTGGCTGGCTGTCCCAGATGGAAGCCACTTTACCCACCTGGCCAAGCAGCTGACGCTGCCAATAAGGCCAAAGACTATCAATTCGAAGCCTTGCACAAAATCCACTTTTACGATGCCTGGCGGTGCCAGCCAGAACTCAACAAGGCTAACTCCTTCATTCACTTACCCCCTGCACCAGGGCTGCTGCAGAATGGTTGCCATTGGCGGCCTGCGGAAGCTGTCTCAGATAGCAGCAGCAACTCGGGCCCTTAGCAGAGCGTGGTTACAGCACACGAGAGCAGCTCCGCTGAAGACGAAGCAGCTGCCCACGATGGCAACTTTTTTTGAACGAGTCGAGGCGCTATGTGTGCAGGTTCTGCACAAGTCACCTTGGTCGAGTTAAGAAGGAGGTACTATACAGGTTGCAATCCAAACAGAAGAACAAAACCCCCAACCCCCAACCAACAAAAGCACAAAACCACCAAAGGAAGGAAGCAACCTGTTGCGCAACTCATGTGGCCATGTAAGCCGTAAGAGAAGAGGTGAGACAGGGGCAATGAATTCCGCAAAACTCTCAGTACTTCTTGTCCCTCAACAACTGCTTTGTACTCGCTAAGTGCATGGCATAGTCAGGAAATTTGGAATTACGGAGATGGTAACGGGAGGTAAATCAAGACTCCCCTCCACGAGTTTGAGGCAATGACAAGTTGTGTGCCTGCAATGCACTTGAGAGGCATCAGTGTGTCGTGTAGTAATAACCGACAGAGGGGTCCACTCAGGACAAGGTAGATGCACTCTGAGTTGACTTGCTTCACTCGATGACCTGGGGCTCAAAATTTGGCATGTTGTGGCAGCTCAAGGGAAGACCACTGCGCTTGCAATCGGAATCTTCAAAATGCCGAAAGCGAAGGAGCAGTGTGGCAACCACCATGCAGTCACAGGCCGAGTAGGCCGCTGCAAAGCAGCGTGTCCCGATCCTCCCCCCCAAGGGGGGAGAGGGCAACATTGAGAGCGTCGATTCCGCAAGGACTCCAAAACGGCGTGGCAACGGGAGTAATGCGAGAACCGCTCCCAATTGTGAGCAAAGGAGCGCAGCATTTACATCAGAAATGCAGCAGTCAAGCACATTGTAGCAATTCTCTTCAGTGGCCAATCAAGATCGGCTAGCACATGCAAAGCCCCATGAACTACTCGAAAATGGGTGAAACAGGGTGAAACGCCGTTTTCCTATTTCTGTACACTATACCCATCCAGTGCCGCTACGCGGGTAACAGCCTGGGCTCTGTCTAGCTACTCAGGCTAGCAGATTTTGCGGTCAAGACGTTGCGGCACTCACAGGACCAACACACGGGTGCCAGCCTGAGAGGCTAGCTTTGAGGTGTTAGGCAATGCGCTTGCTTAACCTGCCTGCTGCACTACTGCTAGCAAGCAGCAAGGGGCCGGTTTATGCAACACATAGTGGCGGAGATGCCCTACTGGTCCTGTAGTTGTCATGGTCCTGGTCATAGGCTCATTACAAAACCGTGACTTCGAGGGACAGCTATCTAGTCAGGGTACTGCTTCGCTAGTGTAGCGGCAGTGTGAGCCCAGGGGAGGTGGCCTCTAACATAGTCAGGGCCAGCACACGGGTGCCAGGTTAAGGGCTCAACAACATGCCACTATAGACACTTACCACTGACTTGGTTCTGCATAGGAATCATCTGCCCATTTGTCCTCATCCTTTCGGTTGAGTGGTAGAAGACGAACCCACTTCGGCATCTCCAGGTTGTCACACTTGAGGAACGCATTTGCTCTGGAGTATGTTCCCCTCCAGGTAATAAGGCTTTTTCCCACTCTATGAAATTGACAGAGCTGTGTGCAGCCGGCAAAGGCTCGTCCAGCATTATATAGCAAAGTTGGTGGAACGCTGACCTCTTTCAGTGAGGTGCACTTGAGAAAAGCTTCCTGCTCAATCCTGCGAAGTTTATGCGGAAGACTCAGGTTCTGCAAGTGTTTGCAGTGTGCAAAGGCAGAACCCATGATGTCAGTGAGTCTTGTACATGAGAGATCAACTTGCTGCAGTTGGAGGCATCGTTCACAGGCCGCCGGTCCAATCCATGTAAAGTCTGGAGGCAGGGACAGCGACACGATCCCAGCCTCAAGAAAGCAGCATTCAGGCAGGCAGCGTGTCAAGTTTGCAGAGTCACACTCGGTCTGTCCCAGATCGAGGTGCCGTAACGCAGTGCATTTTTCAAAGGCCCTAGGCATCAACTGTGCCTGCGGGGCCAGTTTTTTTTTTCCACGAGTACGGACGCCGTGTGGGCATGGTGCCCAGGTCATCGTTGAAGGAAGGAAAGAACAGACAGATGGTGGAGAAAGGAACGAAGACCCCAAAACCAACCCAAACCAAACACCCAAGCCCGCAGGCCGAAACTCCACCATCTTGTAGTCTTTCCTCTACACAGGGTGAAACGTGTGAAACAGAGACTAGTGGCAATTAATGGGCCTGAATTCTCAAAAGAAAAGGACGGCAGCGCAAGCTGTGTTCATGGAAAGCCGCCTAGGAGGCTTCAAACGGACTTTCCTTACCGAGTATTGGTGACCAGCGGCCACACCACAGTGTGGCAAAACAAGGTCACTTTGCAGG